GTGCCTGTCTTTTATAGTGAAGGCCTCCTGCCAGCAACTTGAGCTGATTCTGGTAATGGCCCAGTTTTTACGGGTATAGATGGGGAGTCCCTGGCCTTGTGCTTGGCTCCTTTACAATACGGCTCGTGCTCCACCCTTGACGCGCTGGGCAAGGGTCTGGCTCACCAGAGTCGGCAGGCACAGCGGTATGCCAATGTGCCCTAGGACACTCCTCTTCCCAGCAGTGCATTCTGGAATGTGGCCAATGACAGACCAGCCTTGTGCCTGTCTTTTATAGCGAAGGCCTCATGCCAGCAACTTGAGCTGAATCTGGTAATGGCCCAGTTTTTACGGGTATAGATGGGGAGTCCCTGGCCTTGTGCTTGGCTCCTTTACAATAAGGCTTGTGCTCCACATAATTATTTTGCATTTTTTTTTTTAACTGTAAAAAAGGCTATGCTCATGAAGACATAAATTTGGGTCTCCACCAGCCGCGTTTTTTTATGAAAATTACATAAGTCCTGCCGGTGGAACTTGGGCATAGGATGGCCGAAGTCCAATTCACTGCATTCTTCCCCCCCCCCCCCCCCCCCTCCTCTGTCGCACGGTTGCTGGCGACATTTTTCTTTTCCCCACAGACGTAGTTTTTCTTTAATGGTACTATAATACCTATTTTTATTTGCTTACCGCTTGTTTTAGTTTACATACATTACAGAAGTGCACAGCAAGCGCACAGCAATCACAATGTGATTTTGTGTGTTGTATTTATTATTCATGCCATTTTCATAAAGTGAGTTGCAGATTTGTCGTATCTAGAGTCTTTTTCTGCAGTGCTCGTTGTTTTTCTCTCTTTTTCAGTTTCTTTTTGTTCAAACCTTTCGCACCAATGAATATGATTTTGTCACATGGAGGAGACGGAGAACCGCTAATGAAATACTTGAGAAAGGAGACGGGGGGGGCTGCTCTTTAAACAGAGTAAGTTTTCTTCATCCTCGGAGTGCGCCCATCGACAAAACCGTTGTTTTCCCAAGTGACACATTGTGCACTGTAGAAGTGAAAAGTCGTTTTCCACGTGTGGAGCCCGCCCCGACTAAACTTAAAATAAACGCAAACTAAGTCCGTGGAGCACAAGCCTAAAGCTTTTCTCTCCTCTAAAAAAAAAACAAGAAAAAAGACAGGATGGCCTCCTCTCAGCAATATTTTCTTGAATCTGGCCAATGACAAGCCTCCTGCCAGCAATATTTTCGGGATTGTGGCCAATGACAGGTCTCCTGCAAAATTTCCAATATTATTCAATATGGCACGAAGTCCACCATTTGGGGCTGCCGTCAAATCCAAATATCATCTAGAAATTGTGTTGTTGCCCGCCTTCCAAAATGACATGATCACCTTGGAGGGCACTTCACCCCTTGGAGCTTCCAAAGTGACAGAAGGGGTATAGTGCCAACAACACTATACCCCTTCTGTCACAGAAGAGATGGGAGAGTTAGAGTGTGAGTATGCCATGAGAGTGCTCGTTAAATGTTGGCAAGTGCGTGGTAGCTCAGTGCACAGAGCTCTGGTGTTGCAACGGGGAGGTTGCGGGTACGACTTTGTCAGCCCGCAATTTCCCCCCAAGCACAATTGGTTGGTGTAGATTGCACCCCACGTACTTGCCCCGAGCCTGGCATAGCACCTTTACAGACTAATGACCCCAATAGCTCAGCGAGTAGAGCTCTGATATCGTAACCTGGAGGTCCCGGGTTCAACTCCAATACACATAACACGTAACACATAACTCATAGCTGATAACCGACTAGGGGGGGTGCAGGGGGGGGATGGGCTGGAGGTTTTCCCTGGCAGGAATCGGCCCTGTGGTGAACTGGTGCGACGGTTACGAACCCATAACCTTGCCCCCTCGATATGAACTGGATAACTAATTATCCATGATGACAACACAAAAAACCCCTAATACAAGGCAACTACTATAGGCTGTGCTAGGAACATGTCTCCTGGGTTGGGTTGGGGGGTGCCTTAGGTAAGACCTTGGTCAGGGTAGGACCGGTAGACACGGCCTGAGGTAGATCCATGGAATATTCGTTGTTTGACCAACCCAGGGCTGGTGCTCATAAGGAAAGTGCATAGGACGATAATGCTTGGCGACCGCAGTGCACCGTACGACAAGGCTCGTCCGATAGTGCGCTTCAACTAGCGCTGGGAGGGGTTGTCCTGGCCTGGCACTGGTGCCTGCAATGCTGTCCGGTATTCCCAAGGTAAGGGTCAACAGTGGCCTCCGTAGATGGAGAAGCAGGGGTTACGCTAAGGAAGAAGAACGTTGAGGTAGGAATGGGGTGGGTCCTGTGAGCACCCAAAAAAAAGAAGAAAAAAAAAAACATCATTATAATGTTTTCAGAAATTTCAGGGCAATTTTTAGGCCATGTATATTCTATGATTACCCATGTTCTATTTGGTCGTCATTCCACTGAATACAAAGTTTTCTTGTGTCTTTTTTCATTATAAAGTTATGAAGCGGGAAAAGTACTAGATTTCCCACACCAGAAAGGCTTTGGATTTGGGGTCTTGTTAGACACGTGTAGAAAATGCTAGAAACCTTAGGACTATACTAGAAGGATTTCCACTGGGTCTTGTTAGACACGTGTAGAAAATCCTAGAAACCTTAGGACTGTCCTAGAAGGATTTTTGTGATTAGTTCTTTTTTCCCTAACCCGGTTTTTGGTTCCGCACAGTCCTAGAAACCTTAGGACTATCCTAGAAAATCTAGGACTCAAGGACCATCCTAGAAAACCCAAGAAACTCTAGGACTATCCTAGAAACTGTTTCTACGAGCGATCATTACGTAGCCTGCCATTCAAGAGGAGAAATCTATGTTTCAGTCAGTCCAGCTCCATCACGTACTGGACTATAGGACACAGTGGAACCGCCGATGTCATTATCCCCGTCTTCGTGATGAATGTCTGTCGATCTTTGCAACCGCCTCTTCTCTTCGAGTTTTGACTCCTAAATCAATTAATAATACTTTAATATTTGAGAACTGCCGAACACACACCCTTTTCTGTTGTCTCAACTCAACGACCGGATGTCAACACTAGTGGTTAGTAGGTGGTGTCATTTTCGGCGAATCTTTTTCAGCGAAACAACCTCTCGAAAACCGGACAGTAAAATTGAGAGGCGTTAGAAAGATGTCTTCTTGAGAGCTGTCAAAAATCGGCAAGACTCCAGCCTCTACAGCAGCCCTTGTTTTGGGAGTGCTTGGCCCCAATGCGTGGAACCTCCAAAATTCAAGAGCAGGCCTGTGGTTGGGACCAACAGGGTGTTTGTCTGTTTCTCCAGGGACAGATCGCAAGCGTCCGTGTGCCCGCAGTTTGAGAGCGCTTTGTGGTGATACACGGAAGAATTTGGGATTTGTGCATTTCCAGTTTTGTGAGGGCTTTTGAAAGTTTTTTCCATTTCCACAAATGGTACATCGAGCGCCTTTGCTTCAGCAGCGTTCATGATAATGGATGCAGACACGTTCACCCTGGTTGTGTCCTTCACGAAATGCCACAGCTCACACACAAATTGAGAAATGGTGAAAAAGTTTTGTAGTAAAAAAACCTAGGCTGTTTTCCCGGGCGCCCGGGCAGCCAACTTCTGCCCCGATACACGCCCGGGTGCCTGGCCGGGCATGACCCCCAGGCAGGGTTCCGGGCAGCCCAGCGCCAAAAAAAAAAAAAAAAAGTCAAAAAATTCCGGAAAAAAAATATGTTGTGTAGGATTGAAATACAAACGACTTTTGGCTGAGGGTCACATTATAATTCCTCACAGAATCGGAGATAAAAAAGAAAATAA